CTATCCAAACACCATGCATGGAAATGCGGGATATCGTGAAGCACTGTAAACATAAAAATAAAACGCTTTTCAAAAAATGTTTTTCATATTAACTTTTTGCGGATGTGTTTTGGATATAGAGCGCGCTTTATATTCGCAAGCTAACGTTTTTTGGGGTGTTTGACTTCTCGAAAGTCAGGTGTTCGTTAGAATCGAGAAAACACGATACTTTTATTAAACAATTATCGTTCTGGGATTTTTTCAGATTCTTAACCTTCACGAATTGTGACTGGTATTAAGATTTGGATTTTGCAAATTCTGTGTTTGGCATTATTATTATACACAGTATATATTTTTTTGGTTTTTTACGATAATTAATTTTCGCTTACTTCCTGTAACCTTCTTTGATTGATTTTACAAGTTTTTTTCCGATATTCCGTAATTGATTCTCCATGGCGTCCTGAAAACGTAAATAGAACTCGGACGGATATCAAAGCTAGATTCTCTTGGTAATGAATGTTTATTTTATTAAATGATTTGTAATTAATTATTAGTTTTGCGATTTCGTAATTGCAACAAATGCAATTCCAAAACGGAAAACAAAATATTTTGTAATATACAAAAAAAAAATATTTTTTCTCCTGTAAGACTCTCAGGAAATCGTTTGTCAATTTGCTTCGGAGAAAGATTTCTCAATACAGATTTTACAGTAATATGAACAAGCAGAATTGAATTGAAAGCATAACCTTCGTATTATAGCGAACCGCAAAAACTCACGCTAACGACGACCATTCCTTAATGTTTCAAAGAATAAAATTTTAATCAGCTACATTTTTTTTCCTATAAAATCAGTAATCGCCCACAATAAAACAATATCGATTTTGTTATATTTCAGAAGATGATGATAATAAGATTAGTTGTCAAGGTAATGGTAGCCAATGTTTCACTCCTTGAACATATTTCACATAAATTTCGATGTAAATATAAGAATTTGTTTTAAAACTGTTAATAAACTATAATCCTAATTAAATTTAATATATTTTCCTGCATTATGTTGTGTTAATGAAACGGTTTTTGTTTTACTAATGACATTTCTGATTTTAAAAAAAAATCATTTATTCATAGAATATTGTTTGTAGGCACTGAGAGAGGTAATATTGGATGATATAAATCTCACCTGATATCCAGATAATTCTATTATTTTATAAAGTGAATGAAGTAATAGCTTATATTAGTTATCTAAAACTGTAGTAACAGCAGCTTTTCATTCTTTTATTTTTATTTTATTTTTTTTGCTTCTTTATTAAAATAATTAGTAATAATTAATAATAATTTCCTATAAACAGACAATATTTTATTAACGTTTCTTTATAATTTTACTTAATAATAAACTTTAAGAGTACATTAATTAGCAACATATCTTTACTATGAAGAACTTTTCTTTTGAATGTAAATTTAGATATCATCAGTTCATTATTACTAGTTTAAATCAAATTCAAAATACAGTGAAAACTGCTTAGGCGACCACCTGCATTCGACGGACACCTGCCAAAACGGGCAAAAATTTCTGGCACGGAATAGTTTATCCATAGAGTCTTCGTATAAGTTACCTGTATTAAACGACCACCTGTGTAACGCGACCGCGGGCATCGATTTTTGGTCCGNTTAAATATTTTCTTAATTAATTAATAAAATATTAAATATTTAAAAAATACAGTATTTTTAAAGTTAAAATAAGTTAAACTAACGAAAACCAAAAGCAAAGTGATGGAGAGATAGGACGCACTTGTATATTGATGACGTAATACACGTAACTGAGGAGCGAACGAAAAGAACCGAGTCGAATTAATTAAGTCAGAAAAAAGAAAGTGTGCATTATAATCGAGAAAATGTGACTATTGTATTAATCTTTAAAATATTAGTGTTAAATCTGTTTTATAATATCATGACGACTCCTGTAAATCGGGTTATCCGATAAGAATAAAATACAATACGAATATAGCCCTATCGTTGGAAAAAATTCGCTTATTTTTGCTCACCTCGAGTTTTTCTTAGTAGAAATGGCTAAAAAGTGCGCAAAATACGTACAGAAATACGGTATTACAGCACCACCTATATTGGAAGACCACCTGTCTAAAAGACCACTTTTTGAAGGAACCGTAGGTGGTCTCCGTAGACAGGTTTTACTGTATATAGATAAAACAGTATTTAAATCATAATTAATTTTGAATTTTAAACATTCTTATTTAAATTTTTTTTTAATTCACACAAGCTGTAATAATACTTTACTCTAAGATTTGATGCATAATAATTAACGACTGATAATACATTAGTGTAAAGAAATTGATTTTGAACATATTGCGAAATTTGCTAAGCATTGTCTTTAGTTTTAAATGACAAGAAGCATCCATTATATCAATTTAAATTTAATTTAATCACAGTCAATAATAAGTGGTTGTTCCTGCACACTTGCTGTGATGGATTAGCTTTTTCCTGTTAAATAGATGCATGCAGTATTATTCTCATCAATGTATGAAGGTATTTCCTTCTGTTATGTGAAACTAGGTTATTTTATATATTTTTTAATTTAGCTTATTCTTTTGTAACTAATCGTGTTTCTAATTAAATAAAAAAAATTTTAATTTCTAAACTAATTTTTCTGTATTAAATTAATGGTTTTAGATTGGTGATTAGTTATTGATTGTTTTTTTAAAGTAAAATATACTGTATTTAATAATTTTTAATCTTATTCTTTTCAAAAATACATTTTAATAATAGAAGAAAAATGTATTTTGAATAATTTATTTTCTATGATTCTTAACACTTTAAGAAGAATGACAATAATTATGTGAAATTATCATTAGAATTGCTATTAAAAAGGAATTCTTTAAAAACAATTATGCATAATTATCATTATTGCTTTTTCTTTTAGAAAATTTGAATAGCAGATTTACTTTACTAAATTTTAAGCTCGGTTTTAAAGCATAAAAATTGATTTTTAGGCATATTATTATTTACAAAATCTGTATATTTTTATCTGATCATATTTAGTTTTATTATTTGTATATTGATGACGTAATACACGTAACTGAGGAGCGAACGAAAAGAACCGAGTCGAATTAATTAAGTCAGAAAAAAGAAAGTGTGCATTATAATCGAGAAAATGTGACTATTGTATTAATCTTTAAAATATTAGTGTTAAATCTGTTTTATAATATCATGACGACTCCTGTAAATCGGGTTATCCGATAAGAATAAAATACAATACGAATATAGCCCTATCGTTGAAAAAATTCGCTTATTTTTGCTCACCTCGAGNATTCATATATCCGAAATATTTCAAAAAGAATATTCTGTTGTTCGGGAGGAACATATACTAACATAATAACCAAAATTTTATTTTTCAAATTGTTTGTTTCTAGACTGTTAGTTCGTAGATGAGCAATAATATAATTGTTATTTTTCTGGGTATATATAATTTCTCCCAATGATTTTTTAATTATTAAACCTAAACCCCCAAAAGGACGTCCCGGTCCCTTTGGTTTTTGAGCCATTTGCGTAATTATATGATAATTTTCATTCTGTTTGATCAATGATGTAGGAAAAGTTGTCATCCAAGTTTCTGTGATTGCTATTATATCAGATTTCTTTATCATCAATATAAAGTCTTTTGTATTAATTTTACTCTTTAGCCCTTGAGAGTTCCAATTAGTTATCACAAGCTGGGAGATTATATAGTTAGAGGTAGAATCAGGAAATTTTCCGTTATTATTATATTTATTGGGTAAAGAATTTAGTAGTTGGGTCTTCTTAAGATTTAGTTCTTGTATAGGAGTAGTTAAATTGGACCTTTGTCATTGAGTAGAATTCTCTGTAATAAAAAATGGTTTGAAAGAATCCTGGAGTACCAACCCTTCCAATACATAACTATATGTCAAAGAAAATTTATCCAACAGTATGGTATCGCCTCGAAGTTTAGGATCTTTGCCAGTTTTTCTTAATTCACTTAGAAAAGGAATTAGTTGTTTCCGTCTTGTTCTAGATCTTTTAGTGAGGTCTTGTGCTATTTGAGTGTCTTTCCATTCGTTCTGTATATTTTGTTGTTTCATTTTTACAAATTTTGAGTAAATATAATCTCTTATTTGGATATTTTTAATGATTATTTTAATTGTTGGATTCTGTGTTTTTGTTATCGGAATAATTGCTATAATATCGTCTATTGTGATTTCCTGTAAATCTAATGTTTCATTTATTAAGTTGAACACTTCTAGTTTAGTAGGACTTTTTTTACTTGGATATCTAAATAACATTATATTATTGCGGTGTTGCATATTAATCATATTGTCCATTTGGTATTGCATATTTTCGTTTTCTATTTTTAAAGTATTAATTTGTTGTTCAAGATTTATTATTTTATTATTCATTTTTAGATTTTGATTTTTAGATTCTTGAATATTATTGCGTATCTGGTCCAGATCTTCTTTAATAATGGTCATTTGGTTCAATATTCTAGTGTTAGAATTGTTAATTAGTTCTGAAATTTTGTTCCATAGTGTCATGCTCGCTATATCGGATATATTTTCCAATTTTCCTGGTGAAGAGGATAGCATATCCAATGACTCACCTGATAGTTGCGTCCTTGGAAGTGTCGTTTCAGAGTTCAAATTTATATTTGTCGAGGATGTTTCTGGAGAGATTCTTTCGACATGAGTATTGTAGTCTGTAATTAGCTTGGTATTAGCAGTCGAAGCAGATTCTTTCCTGTTAACTGACTTTGATCTTTGAAGTGGTGGTCGACCTCGTTTCACCGGCGAACGTTGCATATTAATTATATTATTCGACTAACCAACACTGATAATAATATTGCACAACACAAAATCAAAAAAATTAACTAGTTTTAATCTGTAGAATAAGTTCTTTGTCTGTTTTTGAGGTGTACAGAAAAATACGCCAACAGCCTCGGCTGACTGAAGCGCCCCCCTATAAAATGAATTTTTAGATAAGTTTTGAATTTATTATACTTTATGTTGATTTATATTTAGGTGAAACATCTTTCCCAAGAATGGGCAAAAAATGCTGCACTTCCATCTCATGTTGCATCTACTTTGAATAATTTTCCATCTAATCTCCATCCAATGTCACAGTTTAGTGCTGCAATAACTGCCTGTAATACTGAAAGTAAATTTGCAAAAGCATATAGTGAAGGTGCAAAGAAGACAACATATTGGGAGGTATTATTCATTACATAAATATATTCAATATTAATATACCATTTTAATGATTTGTTTAATAATTTGAAGTAATTTATAAATATTAAAGATCTGATAATTAATTTATCAAAAAACTTTCTCAAGAAACTGACTGAAGTTATTTATTCTAATTTGATTGTAATAGAAAAGAATAAATATCTTCAGTTGATTTGTTGCAAAGAATTGAGAAGTATCATTTTAAAATTTCCTGAACAAGGAATATGTTATGTTCATTTCAAAAGTTTGTTTGAATAAAGAAATTATACCTGTTTTCTTATTATTAATAGTAAGCTAATTTATTTTTTCCAGTATATCTTTGATGATGCCACAAATTTAATTGCAAAGTTGACACCAATGGCTGCAACTATTTATCGTAATTTATATAGAGATGGTAGCAGTATCGGTGCCATTGATGTCAACAAAGATTGGTCTGCAAATTTTACAGCAATGTTGGGTTACGATAATCCAATTTTCACTGAATTAATGCGATTATACCTTACAATACATAGGTGAGTTGCTTTTGTGGCTACATACATTTATATTAGAAATATATATTTTCCTTTCTTTTTCAGTGATCATGAGGGTGGCAATGTTAGTGCTCACACAACTCATTTAGTAGGAAGTGCTTTGTCGGATCCTTATTTATCATTTGCAGCTGGAATAAATGGTTTGGCTGGACCACTTCATGGTTTAGCAAATCAAGTTAGTTGAAATATTCCAATTTTAGATGAGAATTTTTAACAAAAGTTATTAAATAGATCAAATTTTATCCTGTAAAATATAAATTTGTAAATTATATTCATAAATGGACACAACGACTTTAGCAATAAGATTGCAAATTTACCAGCTTTCTTATTACTGATAAAATGGTAAATTTTCAAAATGTTACTGACTTACTGGTAATTTTTAAATTTTTAATTAAAAATACAAAAATTTACACACTAGTGATTGTTTAGTTACCAATTCACTGATATTTTAGCAGCTAAACAATATTTAGTATTCTATGACCATTTCAGTTCTTTTTCTTTTCAAAACAGACAGAAAAAACAAGTTGTTTTCTAAAAAAAAAAAAGTATGCTGTAATTTTTTAGTTGCCATGATTAAAAAGTAGCCAATGCACACACAAATAAATTATTCCATTTTGTCAGCTAAAATCACTGTTGCACTAAGAAATCAATTGCCAAACTGTTCAGTATGGTAATGTAATATGATACTATAAAAATTGTAAAGAACTGTAAAGTAATAATTTAAAAATATAATTGACATAAACTACTTTTACAGTTTAAATAAATATGTGAAAGTGTATACAAATAAATATTTGGCTCCAAAAAAATTATTACAAGTCTTTGTAATAATTTTTTTTAATCAAATTTACCAGAAAAAACATGCAATTACAGTTCATTTACTGGTATATTTATTAAAACATTTTTTACCAGTAATGCAATCCCTATTTTGCAGTGCATAAAATTGTACTGCTAAATATAGTTCTATTAAAAACAGAATTATGCTAATAATGCAAAAATGTTTGCATTATTAGCACTGCAAACATTTATGCATTGCTAATAATGTTGTGTCCATTATCCTTAAATACTACAGTGATTCATTTTGTTACTTAAGTTATATTGATAGATTTTATATCTGTTTTGGAAACAAAATTATATCTTTTTCTACTAATGTGATTAAAATTATTTCAAATATGATTTATAATAAAAATAAAATCATGGATTTCTGAAAATAATAATTTTAGAATATCTTAAGTCAATTAGTACTGAACATTGTTAATAAGTATAAAAATAAAAATATTTTAGTAAAGTGAATTTTTAAGGTTTTTATATTGAATCCAATTAAATATGGGATTAAAACTGCATTAATAAATTGCAATCTTAAACTAATTAATAGTAATCATAAAAAGTATTAATTTATATACATTTGTTAGTTTCATTTAACTGCTCTGCAGGATTTTTTTCTGTTAGACAAACTAAAATTTAATAAAATTTCAATCTGAATAATACAGTACTTACCTAGTAAGATATGATTTTTTTTTTTTTGTCTAAAATATGATGATAAGTATAATTTTCTTTTCTGTATATTGATTTCAGTATCCATAGAAAAGATGAATGAATTGAGATGTCTAAAATTAAAATTGAAATAATATATAACTTTAAAAACTGATGCTAACATAAACAAGTAATACAAAGTTAAACATAAGAAACTTTTCTAAATTAAAGTTTCTCTCATTATAATTTAAGGATTAATTTACATTAAATAAAAAAGGTATTTAAGTATAATAATTTATTTTCTTAAACTTTAAAATAACTGTACTTAACTTTTTTCTTTCAGACAAAATATACCCATATATTTTATGTTAACTGATCTAAGTAAATCTTTCTAAATTTATAATCGCTGTTTATTTTCTGTTGAGTCTGTCTGTAATTACCTGTTACGTAATGTTGATTTTTCTTACAATAATAATAGGTCTTCAACTGTAATAATACATAAATAATGTTTATACAAATTACAAATGTTTAAAAATCATATTAAGCACATACTATCCTGGAAAAAGTTTGAACTTTCCATTAAAGTCAACTGATACTAAAGTCAACCATTGCCATATGCTATCAGGCTAAATGGTTGGCTATAGTATTACAATGTATTGGATTTAGTAGAGTTGTTTGTTTAAAGTTAATTGATATACTGTAAATATGTTGTTGTTTAGATATTATAATAACCATAAATCAAATATGAAGTAAACATTTATTTTCATATTTAAGAAATTCAAATACAAGAAATTATTGCTTGCAATTTGTCTGGAAAAAGTTTGAGACCAGGATCAAAAATTCATATTTTACAACATTCTAAACTACAATAGACATCGTAACCTAATATATATCCACATTGTGTTTTCAACTTTCAGTAAAAATCGGATCTGGTAAAACATTAACAAATGAAGAAAAAAACAAGATATATGCATTCAGAGACTGGAAAATTTGATTGTCATTACAGGCCTACTAGGAAGATCAAGATGGTAGTTCACAATTACTTAAAGGACCCTGACAATTATGGCAAAGCTAAACATTGTGTTATGCCAAAAAAACTTTCTGCCAGAGTTGGTAGGACAATATTGAGAATAGCTACATCCTCTGGTATGTCATCTAGTCATATTACAGCTTTTCTACAGCTACCTGTAACACCAAGAACAATGAGATATGTTCTGCAAAAGTCTGCAAATCATGCATACATTAAAATGCATGTACAGCCAAAATTGACAATTTCCCATATGGAAAGGTGGCTGAACTTTGCAATGCATTATGTTGGCCATTCAGATTTATGGAATCGTACATCTCTTACTGATGAGAAGAAATTTAACCTGGATGAACCTGATGGTGTGCAATTCTATTGGTATGATGTACAAGGTGGAGGATCCATAATGGTATAGGCAGCTCTCACTCATCAGTTAAAATCAGTTATTGCTTACATTTTTCCTTGTTCAAAGGTAGTTGAATGTCAAGCTGTGTTGGGAAATTATCTTCTATCATTCAGACATGAAGCAGTGGACAAACATTTTATTTTCCAGCAGGATAATGCTTCTATTGATAAAGCTGCCTCTACAATGATATGGTTGTCTGACAAAGATAACAATGTTTTACTATGGCCACTATGTATCCTGGATTTAAACCCAATAGAAAACCTTTGCAGTGATTTAGTAAGAGTGGTTTATGCCAATGGAAAACAATTTATAATGTTTCTGATCTTAAAAAAGCAATTGTGACTGCTTGGAATGAAATTACTACAACTCTTATTACAAATGACCAATGGATTGATTGATTTTATTCAGGTTAATGGTAAACAAATTAAGTATTAAACATTGTTTTCTCCACTGTGTTTTGCTTTTGAGGTGCTTTTTTTGATCATGGTCTCAAACTTTTTTCAAGACAAATTGCAAACAATAATTTGATGTATACGAATTTCTTAAATATGAAAATAAATTTTTACTTCATATTTGGTTTATGGTTACTTTAATACCTAAACAACAACATATTTACAGATCAGTTGATTTTAATAGGAAGATTGAAAACCCAGGTGGAATTAATTGTGGCAATTTTTTTTATATGCAGCAGAAATTTTAATTAATGTGACTTTAACATCTGTCTTTACTTAACATAGATGTGTTTCTCTCAGCAAATAAGGTGTTGGTCAAGTTGCTATTTTTGGTTATTAAAATAAAAATATTTGTTATTAACCAAAAATTTGTTTTAGTGCAGGGATGTCCAGCCTGCGGGTTGCACTGTGGCCCACTTTATATTTTTATGCAGCCCACTGCACTCTGTTTTTTTAGATACATTTTCATTTATTTTGGTAAAGTATATCATAAAAATTATTCTTGTTTCACTGGATACATTCTGATATAATGATTTATAGGTGATGTAATCTGTAACTGTTCAATCAGAAATGTTGCTAGCATGGTCTGTCATTTTGATTGTTTCAGTTTCAAAGATTCTCGTAATGAAGCGATGTTGTTAGTGATAAAGAATGGGTACCTTTTATCAGGCGGATGAAACAGACACACAATCCCTCTTTTCAAAAGTGTGTCATCCATTTTTAGTGACTCGAGGCTAGGCCTAATACCAAAATGGAAAGAGCCAATTTATTCTTTATTTCTACAAAGAATAAATTAGACCATACCACTTCGGCATTTTTACTAATTACTGTATAGGTATATAATACAGACATAGGTCTATCTACATATTTCTTTTGCTAACATAATAATTTAAATATTTTCAATCTCCAATTATATTCATAATTATTTCATCAAATGTAAATTTATTTTTTAATAATCCAGCATTTGATCATGGCATCTAATACTAAGAAAAGAAAAATAACAGAAAAGAGAAAATTCATTATCTTTTGGCCAGAAAATATTTCGTAATTGAAACATGTAATAATATTATCTGACTTATTTGTCATGATAAAATTGCCGTGTGAAATTGTGCATTTTCAGAGTTTATTAAAAAGAAAAGAAGAATTTCCTGTGAACTTTGAAAAATATATAAATTATGTGATGTTTTGTTAAAAGATTTAACAACCAGAATTTCTGACTTCAGAAAATAAAAACTGAATTAAAATTGTTTAGTGATCCATTTTCATTTAATTATGTGGAAGCAGCAGCCAAATACCAGCAAGAAGTCATTGATTTTCAAACCAGGAAATTTTTGAAAACTTATCATAGAGAACATTCCCTTCTTGAATTTTATAAAGAAGTTCATTTTTTTAATGAATTTGATAAAATTGTCAATTTATCTAGAAAACTGTTATGCATGTGGGTTAGTGCATACTGTTGTAAACAATTTTTTTTTTGTGCATGAAGAACATCATAGCTGCTAAAAGACATAGATTGAGTGATTTCCATTTAACTAACATTCTTACAATTAAGACTAGTACCACAATCCATGGCTGGATGGCTGAGCACTCAAGGTGGCAGCCTACCACTTTGGGGGACCCAGGATCGAATCTGGCTGGCTCGAAAAATCTCTAGGAATTTTTAGTGGGGTGGTCCGTCTGGATATGCTGAGCCCTGTCCTTCACCACCCAGCTGCTCCATTGTGGGTCTGGCCCAACCCTTAATGGACTTGCTGTAAGAGACTCTCTTAATGCCTACAGGGCAGAAAGAGTTTTAAAAAAATGTACCACAAAAGCAGATATTAACAATATTATAAAAAAAAAAAAAGTAATGTCAAAAATAGCATCAAATTTATTTTGTTTTGTGCGAGTATAATTTATTTCTTTTTACTGTCAACAATACAGTATTTTTTGTAATTATATATATTTATTAAAATTTGATATTCATATTTTGTACTTTTGAAAAAGATATATTTATATTAATTACCCTTGTGGCCTGCTGAATATACCTAAATTTCTAATTTGGCCCATTAAGAAAAAAGGTTGGACACCCCTGTTGTAGTGCGTTGTGGTTGTTTGGTCGAGTACTGAGGTACCTTTGTATTTGATTACCATGATTTTGATATATGATGTAGCATTGAGAGATTAATTAACTACGTTAATCAAGAGATACCTGTATATGTTTTCTATACAATGTGAACATTATATATTAAAACAGAACACCAATCATTCAGAAATTATATCTAAATAAATGAACCTTCAAAATATTTAGAAACTAAACAATCTGTATATATTACATTAACATACAAACTAAATATCTGTATAAATTACATTAACATACATGAAAATGTAAAGGTGATATACAGTTATAATATTTAAAAATTATTGAAGATTATTGAAACTTATTTATCTTTATAAGAAAAATGTAATTCAAGTACAGTAGAGAATCGATTATCTGAAACAATTCAGGACTGGGGTTGTTCGGATAGCTGATTATTTACAAAAAAATATATTAAACACAAAACTGTACTGTATATATTTTGTATCGCACATCTTGCAAATACATACCATACATAAAGTAATACATTAAAGTAGGCCTACAGTTTAGGTTGGCAGGGAGGGGGAAAGTGCTGCAGTGCCACAGCACTAGTGGAAATTTGAATTTGCGAACTGAAATGCTTTTGGTTAACTGATGTTTCGGTTGATTGGTATTCAGATAATTAATGCTGTATTGTAATTAGAAAATTCTGAGAAATGAGCAGTTTAATTCATAATAAAAATGTCAAATATTCACTTTGATTAATATTGTCTTATCACTGAACATTTCAACATATTCATTTAAATAAAAATCATAATAATTTTTTTAAAAAGTATTCACCATAACAATTTTTGTAATTCATTTAATTGGAATTATTTTTGGAAGTTAAAATAAAACTGAAAATTCTGTAAGATGGCATAAAAAACTTTAAAAAAATTATATGCAAGAAATATTAAAGTTTTTTTTAGCATAACAAGAATGGTTGATTGAACTTAAATGCAATATTTAAGACTAGAAAATAGTATTACCAATTTAAAATATTTTAGTTTTATTAACTAAACTAATTATTTAAACTATTTAAAATTAGAATTTATTAATTTCAGTTATTGAGACCTTAATGCCTTTTATTTTTATTCAATAAAGCTTTCAAATAAATTTTAACATTGCAAAAGCATAATTTTGGAATTTTGAACTTTTAACAATTTTTCCAATAAAAAAAAAATTTATTTAACCATTGAATTTTACTGAAGAAAATTTACAAAAAGTAAATGCTTTTAATTTTATAACTAATGATTATTTTTAATTATATAAAATAAAGCAAGTTTTTTTTAATTTACTTTTATATAATTTTAATAACAGCTGTTATGTAAATAATTTATGTAACTTCATTATATTCACAAACATATAAAATTAAAGAAATCATCTGAAAACAAGAAATGTTTTCCATTATGAATACCCCTTGTCTTTTTTTTTTAACTAAAAGTACTTTAAAATTAATAACTATGATTCAGCATCAAATATATTTTAAATAGATAATAGACAAATAGTATATTGCTAGCTGTTACGTCCGTATTTATAAAGTACGCTTTGCAGTAATTGTTACACTCAGCATTATTAATCATAACTTTCTAAAATGTATGTGGTAAAATCCACTTTATGAATATCCTGATAATGTTCTTAAACTACATGGAAAATATGTCTTTGTAAATAGAAAGTTTATTAAAAAAAATTACTACAGTTAGTTCTGTTTATTTTGTTATGGTAATATGACACATGGATCACGGGATTCCTCCCAGGAGTTTTATGGAAAACGCCCTATTTAGGTGTTACTAATGTAAAGAAAACCCAAAAAACTGCATGTGGCCAGCCCATTGGCAATGTGCAAACCCATGCCCAACTACCAGTGTAACAATTTTGACCCTATGCAGATAAGTGCTATGTCCTACTCATCAAAATAATAATATAGTGCATCTGCTTCACACTATATCATTGTCACAGTAACTAAGTGAATATACCATAATATTTGCTTTTTTTAAGTATATTTTCTTTTATATGAATTATATTTAGTTTATTATTTTGTCAAATTTTTGCAAATAGATGGCATTGTGTGTAAATCAGCAAATTGAATGTGGATAGAAATTAATTGATTTACAGAAATTCAATAGATATTTCAGTGTGATAACATTATCTAAGTTAGAAGTATGTTAATGTAACTACTAAATTTTGTATTAATTGGTCAAATGGCCTAGGAGTGTATAGAGAATGAACAAACAAACATTCTCATTTATAGATATAGATTTATACTAATATTTGTATTTATAACTGATTTTTCACATTATTATTCATTGAGTTTGAAAATTCAATTCAAAAATAATAAAAATATCAGCAGCATTCTCAGTTAGTAGTTACGTACTATTTAAAACAGTAGAGCTATTAATTCATTATATTTTCTTAAAAAAAATAAATTCAAAAAATTATCATTTTAATATTCATGTAAAGAAAATTTTATGATTACAGTAATTAACATTTTGAACTTAAAATGATGATATTTTCTTTTAAAATATATAATAATAATAATAATAATATTATTATATATAAAAGTTATTATTTAACTAGAGGTATATTAAAAAATGGTTCTGCAAATTTTCTAAATCCATTTGTAATGTCTCCAGTTCTTTATTGTTCTATGCATAAGATATTTGAAGTTTTTTTTCCTTAATACCATTTTAAATTATTGGAAATTACACAAAACTTGGCACTATTATAAAAATAACAACAAAACAAACTAACTGTTAAAGTTCATGTTACCAAAAATATTTAATTATAAATGTTTTTGTCCTTGATTTAGGCCATCATCAGCTGACAGAATAAACAGATTAGAAATTTTTTTTTTGTTTCTTATTTGAAAAACGAGTATGAAAATATTTCAAAATTAAAAAATCAATCTGTTGTCATAGGCATTTCCTACTGTAATTAAAATAAATAAAAATATTAAATATATAATAATCTATTATAGGACAAAATATTTTTATAAAATATATGTAAAATAGTCATTTTTAATATATTGATATTTAAAATCATCTCTCTATTCTATCATTTAAATATGATAAATAAATGAGATACTTTAATTTAAAAGTACACTCATTGACAAAAAAGTTATGCTTCAAGAAGGAAGTGGTGGAATCAAATGAATCTTTACCATTGTCATTACATTTACACTAATAATGTGATTAAAATATCATAGCAAAGGCATAATTTACTGTGGAACAATAATACAGTTTAAAAGAATCTTTAGTTATCTTGTAACTCTTCTTGCCTGGATGCAAACAGGCACCATATGTTATTCTGAAATAGATTTTCCACAGATATCACAAATGCTGCCTCAGATACATTAGACTCATAAATGGCTGAAACTTGAATCCCATCTGGTCTTACAAATGTTCAATGGGTGACAAATCTCGAGACCAGGAGACTAAGGAAGAGTGGCAACATGATAGAAATATTCCTGGGAATTCATAACTGTGTGTGTCCAAGCATTATCTTATTAGAAAATGGACATTTCTAATCCTATTCCCACAAGTTACCTTGAGGTAGCTTGAGGGTACAGGATTTGCTAAACATACCACTATGCTGGCAATGTCCTTTCTAGAGATGGCTCTCCAGACCAATACACTAGCAGTGGGGCAGTGTGTTGCCCAACAATGAACATGGGATTAAAGCACCCAGCATTAGCTCTCCATACTTTAATACTCTCTAAGTAGGCATCTGTTTTTAAACAGAACTGGATTTGTCACTAAGGACAATATCCTTTCAGTCCATGTTTCTGTCACAGTACCACTGTACTGTACACATATCCCATCATCATTAGTTTGCAGTCAAATGATGATGATGGGATGGTAATGGCAATGGCAGGATGCATAGTAGTAACTGTGCATGAAAATTTTTCTGCTAGTTGTCTGCAAATGACACAAGAAGAGATGGGGTTCTGAAATGAGGGTTTCTCCTATCTCTGGATGATGAACAAAGATGACATTATAGCTATTTATGCTTGTTTCTGGGGTACCCAGAACCTGCCAGCTGTGTATGTCTGTCCTTACATATCCACTACCCCAACACTTTGTTGCAGTCAGTCAAAACAGTCTACAGTAGATGATCAATTTGATGAAACAGCTATCAAAACAGCCTAATGATGCAACATTTCTCAAACCTCATCAGTTTTGCATAATGTTTTTGACTTCATTGTACAGACATGCTTGGTGTTTAAAGACCTGCACACAACAGATACAGTGAAAATTCTGAACATAGTGAGCATTTCTAAAGAATACTGGAATAGCAATTTTAAGGCATTTGGGTAGCATTATCTAGCATGTATGTAGACCAAAACTTTAATCATTTACATGCTTGTCTGAGAAATTTGTATAGCCAAGTTTTGTAGTAACCAAACAGTTCTATCTGGGTATGCAAATTATTTTCGTAAATGAGAGTATTATAAAACAAGATAATAAAATTATTAGTATGTAATATAGCTATAATTATTAGAACTTTATATAATATTATTTGTATATGTAGATAAATATAAATTTTCTGTTGTGACACTCCATTTTCATATTAAATTTTCACTTTTTACATTTTAAAATAAATGTTATATAAATATATGAATAAATATAAATTTTATTTTCTATTTTTATTAGGAAGTATTAGTTTGGTTAACAAAACTTCAAAAGGAACTTGGAACAGATGTTTCTGAAGAAAAGTTAAAAGAATTTGTCTGGAAGACTTTGAAGTCTGGCCAGGTACAGTGTAAAATTTTTGTGTAACAATTTAGATTATCTAAACTATTTATTCTGTTGGCATTGAAAACACAACATAAAATTTCATAATAAATAAATATTTTGATAAATCATTAAACTTTAAAACTGAGTATTTCTGAACACTTATTGCTCTTGATTATAAATATTCAAAAATATCTGAGTGAAACTTATTAAAAATCATTGGTAATTGTTAGCTTATAAAATATACTTTAATAAATTGCATTCTAAAATTGATTAATTTTCATTATTTGCACAATATTATGTAAAAATGTTAATCATAATATTTTTTGTCTATTTTTATTATATTTGATTTTGAATTATCATAAATAACTATATTTTTGAAACACTTGAGTGTTTAACATGAATTAATGTTCAAATAATGATTTTTGATATAAATACACATTTAGAATTAAGTTTTATGTGAACCATCTTAATTTCACATAATTTTATATAGTGATAAGTTATCTACTTCAATAGTTCTTATTGAAATATTGATAATTAAATTATAAATCTTAAGCAGTAATTTGGAGATAGTTGAGCAAAAAAGTTTGAGAACAACATTTTATTTCAATAAAAAATAAAATATTTTGATATATTCTGCTGTTGTAGTATGTTCTTAAAAAAAAATCTTATAACAAGACTATGTATAAGGCACTTATTTTCCATTGAATATATAAAGACAGTTCAATTTCAGTAATGGTGATAGAACTGTATGTGTTACATAGTCATAATTTATGTTTCCTCCTTTATGTACTTCCCTCCACAAACCGACACTTCTCCCATTGTTTTGGCAATGATGCTTATGCCTTCAGATAGAAATTTTTTAGCTGGTTTCAGAGACACTACATGATAAACTCTATTTTCAGCATTCTGGGTGAAGGTCAGCCTCCCAGTGTCTGCTATAAGTGATGATTGTAAGGTGACAGTTTGCTCTGTAAGCCAGGTTGTATAGAATTCACCCATTAATCCATTGAATTCCTATACTGTGTGTAGGGCCATGCTGCAGTGCCACCTAAAAGACTTCTGTTCTGCAGGCTTAATATCATTGTCAAAATGGTAGAAGTGTCAGTGTATGGAGGGGAGTACCTAGAGAAAGAAACAAATTGGGACTATATAACAATTACAGTTCCATTACCATTACTGAAATTCCAAACAGTTTGAGTGATAAATTTTAAAATATTTTGTGGTTTATGAATAACCCTGTAAAATTTCTTATTGTAAAACATGTTACAATTTACAATGATATATGTTAATACTTTGTACTTCAAAGTTCAAATTGCATACAGTGAAAACATGAGCTCTAAGCATAAATGTAATTTGTTGTGTGCCCTAGTTGTCTCTTGCTCTTGCATTAAACTTGTATTCATTACTTTTTTCACTTTATTTTTTGTGCTTGGTTATATTTATTTATATTTTGTGTTGTTCATTGATTTTTTAACAAATTCTTCCTGCAATCTTTCCACACAGTTTTTGGGTGCCCATATGTTTTGTATCGTTTAGTTCAAATTTTCTGAATGGAACTTTTTAAACTACATTTGATTTGTATCCCTTCCAAAACTCAAAGCATCACATGCTTGATATACTTTTTATCTGATGAAATTAAAACTTGATTTTATTGAAACAAAACTTGAAGTAAAAAGTTTAAAGTAAGCTTCTGAACAAAGAAAGTATCTTAATCCAAAAAATGTATTTAAAATAAAATGCAATTATATTTAAATTTGGTAATCTAAATATCATTTGAGGAAAACTTATTTCAATTTATTTTTTCAACACACTTTTTATGCTTTTTCTTACAGAAAGATTTGTTTATAAAATAGAAATAGTAAATTTTGTTTTATGGTTACAAGACTGCAAATTTTTAATTTCATAATTTTTTCATACTTTACATGCTATATATAAAGTTAAATTCATTTTACTGTTAAATTTTAGTAAAAAATCATTTTATTGGTGTTTTACAGATGATTGTTACTTTTAAGAATATAAAAATGTTTACAATACTTTTTTCTTTATATACAATAATAATGTGGTTATATTTAAAGGACAATCACACCACAGGTTGATACACTGATATCTTTTATTCTATTTCTCTTTTTCTTCAAAATATACATTTTCACATACAAAAGATAGTGTGTCAATCTATGACCTGTGGTGTGATTGTCCAACCACATTGTTATTGTATAAGTAAAAGTAAACTTCAGGACAAATAGCTTTATCATATAGTTTACAATATTTTATATATTTCTGTATTCCATACACTCATATAATTTATTCTATTTCTCTTTTTCTTCAAAATATACATTTTCACATACAAAAGATAGTGTGTCAATCTATGACCTGTGGTGTGATTGTCCAACCTATCCACTACCNTATTTTTATAATAAATAAATATTTTATTGAATTATATATCGACCATTTTGGTCAAATACCTGTTGCCATTGCTTCTGGTAGTAGCATGATTCCACATTAATAAAAGTTTTGATCTTTGCTTACAAAAAACTGATCCAAGTGATTTTTGACATTTTCATTTCAAGTAAAAAAATTTCAAGTTAAAAAATTTTGTATAGACCAGAACAAATAATATCTGAGGGTGCCTGATCTGGCAAATATGGTTGGTGTGATAGCACATCCCATCTAAGCTGTAACAGTTTCTGACAAGTTACCAAACTTGTGTGAAATTTGGCATTATCATGGTAAAACACTACACCTGTTTTGTTGATCAATTCTGGCAGCCTTTTCTGTTTGATGATATTACTCAATTTGTTTACTCAATGGCAGTACACTTTCAAATCAATTGTTAAATTGTCTGATAAAAGCTCAAAAAAAATTTCCTTAAAATCCCACAAAAGCAAGCAACTCTCTCTAAGAACATGTGGAACCCATATATTGAGCTTTGAAATGAAACCAATAATCATAAACGGTTCAATTCGACAAATTTAATGTCTTAGTGATTTCACATGTTATTATTTGGCAGTTTGTTTCAGTCAGTACTTTTATTTTGTTTTCATTGTCCATCCAGAATGTGGTGCATCTTTAATATTGAAATTGCCAGAACGAAATTTTGTAAACCAGTTTTCACACTGTCACAGTTTTGTCTCTCAACACATCTTCACCATACATGTACCACAATTTTTTTTCTTGCTCGAATAGCATTTTGATTTTTTAGTAATAAAAAGCAAAATATGCTGAAAATGATGATTTCGATTTTCCATATTTAATGGGACACCGAAAAAAAAAAACAATTGTACAGAATCAAACAACATTTTTTACAAATAAGCCTTAAAATGTCAGCTATCAAAGTATATAATGAAAATTTGGTTTAAAATGAAATTGGCTGGTAAAAATACATCTAATTCTTCTAGTAATAAAAAAACAAAATTACTTTCTGAACAACCCAATAATAAATGTATTGTGCATTCATTAACTTGAACAAACACTTACAAAATAACTTTTCCAAGATTCTGTTAAAAAAAAAAATATGAAGGTATATAGATTTATAATGATAAATATGTACTTGAAATTTTTTGAGAAATTCTTTAACAAATGTTTGAATCTAAAACTTTGTTACCTTATAAATGCTACTTTATATTTCATTTGATAAAATTGAGTAAATTTCAAAAAATTATCAAAGGATAAATTGATTATTTATAAGAACAAAGATATGTTTTAGAATATTTATCTAATTTACAATTAGATTTATAATTGCAGTTGTTAGACTATTACTCAAACATTTATTACTTAAAAATTTTATTATATAATAATTTATAATGACATTATAATTTACTTCAGTGATTTTCAATCGATGTGCCACTAGAGAATCATAAATGTGCTGCAAAAATTTTTGAAGGTTATGAAATAAATTATTTTCGAAAGAAGCCCAAAGTATAATAAGTGTACAGTACATGTCAAAAGTAAAACCTCTTTAAATTGATTATACAAGTTTTTCATTGTTATAATAAATAAATTATTTATAATGTAGTAAAAAATATATATTCATAATCAAAATTATATATGCATAACTCTGAGTTATTTCATTTAAAATCAAAAATTTTTTTAATCAAAAATGTATTTATAATTGTCTGTATTTAGTTCAAATTATTTTAACTCAGAAATAGTGGGACATTGAGCAGGTTTCTAAAGGCAATTATCATGCCACTTTTAAATCCAGGCATAATATTAATTGCTTTTCTTATGTAAGTGAAAATGATTAATTTAACTAATTATAGGTTCAAGTGTGTAAGTGAAAATAATTAATTTAACTAATTATAGGTTCAAGTGTGAATAGGTTCATATAGGTTTTGGATTGGCAATAGATAAAAAAAAGTTGAAAAGCACTGATGAACTTAAATGAAAGATTTTTCTTTGATAATATATAAAAATTGTTGGATGGTGATTATTTAAAAATGACTGAAAACTGTAATGATATAGTACGGCATTCTATGAACTTTATTTATTATACAATATCAAATATTTGAAACTATACTATTAATAATAATTTTAAATAATTCAGTTTTAAAATATTTATTTTAGGTAGTGCCTGGTTATGGACATGCAGTACTTCGTAAGACAGATCCAAGATACACTGCTCAGAGAGAATTTGCATTGAAGCATTTGCCTGATGATCCATTATTTAAACTTGTTGCAAGCATTTACAAAGTGGTTCCACCAATACTTTTAGAATTGGGTAAAGTGAAAAATCCATGGCCAAATGTTGATGCCCACAGCGGTGTTTTATTACAAGTAAGTATAAATATGATTGTTAATGACAATCTTATTGTACTCATAAAAATCTAATAAACAAACTTACAAAATTTCCCTTTTATTTATGACAACATTCCATCTGTGTTTGGATTGGCAATTTCATCGAATTTTCTCTCAACTTTTCTGAAAAATTCTATTTATTTAAATACTTTCCTACAAGCCTGTTTCATAATATTTTATAGAAAATTTTCTGACAGTCCACAAATTTCTTGCATAAAAATTTATTTTAACAAACAAATCTGTGATATCACTGCTTACAGATCACCCCACCACCAAAAATACCATAACACATATAACTTCATGTTCAATTACTTTCATTTTGGAAATAGTAAATTAATAATTATTAAGAACGTGCAATTTAAGTAATGGCATACAACTAACTAAAATCAACTGTGGTGTAAATCAACAATTTTCCAATGTAAAACCTAATGTGTGATTATTTTTTAAAGTATTTACTTAAAAAAAATTCTTATTAATTTTAATATTTTCTGTCTATTTTCAATGTTTCTTTAAAGTATAATTATTGTCTCTTGAAATATGTCACTTTTTAAATTGTTTTGTTGCTGATTATCTAAGAATTACTTTTTCATCATTTTAAGAGAAATTTTTTTAATATACAAATTTCTGAAAAAATAATGGAATAAGTCTATACAAAGTTATGTAAATAAAACAAAATTTACTTTATTAAGAGAAGATGAAAGAAAAACAATGAAATTTATGATACTACAACAGCAGCACTTATAAAATGTATATAGTCACCAATTACCATGTAGTTTTTGAGTCTGTTCAATATTTTTGTAAGATAACCCAAGCACCACCAGATACATAAGCTAATAATATATAATTAACATGGAGGCATTTTATTCATAGTTAAAACAAATTAACCTCCATTATTTATGGAAGGTTAATTTGTTTTAACTAATTCTAAACATAACTACGTAACAGTAGTAGTCAAATGTGATATAAATGTAATAAATTGAAACAGAATTAAATTAGTCCAATAGATACATTATACCAGACAGTTGTTTTAATGTTATCTTATAATATAATTGAGATGGGTTGATAATAATAATGCTACTAATAAATGCAAATGATTAGGAATTGAAATTTGGTGCACAGTTAGGGTATGTCATCAGAATGTACACTAAGAAGAAATTTTTGGAAATCCCCCACAGAGGAGAGGGAGAATGTTAAGGATTACCCTGAAGAACTCATCTTCTACTGTACTATTTTAGAAGCAGGTTTTTGCATTTTTGCAGGAAATCAAACATATTTTTAGACCCATCTAAAAATTCTCTAATTAGTTTCAGAAGACAGAGACCTAATTCTTGTACCTGGTGAAAATGGATACGACCGGCTATAATCTTAATCTTTGCTATCGTACTTTTACTTTTTGCCCAAGAAATGCCAGGCTCATCTGCTAGTGTACATATAAACTCGTGAAATATGAAGAATGATATGATGATTTTTATTTGATAATTTTTGCTATGATTATTAATATATAAAATATCACATAAGATTCAGTTTGTTTCAAAATGAATGCTACAAACTTTATTTATACTATAGCTTTATTATAGAAATATGCAAGTATAGAAATAGTCCTGCCAACTCTTACAGAAAGTTGGACTATAAAGTCAATTGATATGGGGCAAAATCAGAATTTAGAACAAATGCATCTATTTTGAATTGAAAAAAGAAACTCATATGTCCATAGTATACTCCATTTGATGTACTTAAGCTAAAACTAGATTAATTGCTACTCAATGTTTTTAAAGGCATTCTTTTACAATAAAAGCTGGCAAGGACACTTGCTTGACTTTCCTGGCTCTCAAATAGGAGATTAAGGTGACCAGGAGACTGATAATTTTGAATTGTGTTACAATATAAAATTTAAATAACAAACTTTAAAGGCATTACAACAACTCAACAAAATTATTTTTGTTGAGTTGTTGTAATGCCTTTAAAGTTTGTTGTTATTTAAATTTTTATTTATTTATAACAAATATTTATCATAACTCAACAAAATTATTTTTGTTGAGTTATGATAAATATTTGTTTTTAATAGATTTTTAAGTTTAATAAACATGACATATCAGCTCAATTGTGTGTTGTGTCATCTATTAATGAGATTTTATTAAAAAATAATTTTTATATTATTAACTGTTACAAAAAACATAAGAGTTAATTTTGAGGGTGGATATGAGTTTTTAAAAATATTGTAAAAGTTTCATTGAGTCCAACCCTACTCAAGATATGACATGATTCTCTGTCTCCCCATCTCTTAACTTTTAATCACCAAAATTTCAAAATAGCATCAATGTCCTATATACAGTAGAGCATCAATTATCCGACTCAATTGGGGACTGGGGTTGGTTGGATAATTGAAAAGTCAGATAACCGAAAAGTATGAAAAAATCCATTATTAGTGTAGTATATTATTATATCCCATGTAATTAGTATATTAGTATATCGCTATTAACCTACTTTGCGTTGAATTTTCCTCCATGTTAAGACTATCAAATTTTTTTTTTAAATAATAATTGTTGCTATTGTATCGTTAAAAATTAGAAAATTAAGCCTCGTTTAAATACTGGCTCCCTTTCATGGTCAATCCAGTGTTGCCAGCTAAAACACACAAAAATAATATTAAAGTAGCCAAGACATAGCCAAATATTGTAGCGCCACATCACTAGCGGACATTTGAATTTGCCGACTAGAACACGATCGGTTAACCGAGGTGATGGTTAATCGGGGGTCGGATAATCGATGCTCTACTGTATATTGAAATAATCCTGCCAAATTAAAATATTCAGTTCATCTAGTCCTGAAATCTAATGCAAAATAGATCTTGATGCACATGCATGCAAAGTTTTTACTTGGGTGTCAAAACATCGAGAAATGCAAAAAGATGGTGAGTCAAAATTTGACCAATAACCATACTAATCTAATTTACATTCTGTAAGAGTCAGGAAAGTAAAATTTATGGAAATACTAGCAGGAACGAATGATGTATTTATTTATGAAAATTCTTGGTTTATTGTAAAATTGAGATGTTATCGATTTCAACTGCTCAATATTAATTAAAAAATTATAATAATAATTTTATTTAATTTCATGTATTACTATCTACATTATCTCTCCTATGTCAGAAGAATTATTTTTTATGAACAGTTTTCTTTTTTTAAAAGAAATTTTTTGGTTAATATAAAAACTTTCATGTTAAATTGTTAACAGCAATGACAGATTTTCTATGCATCTTTTACATTCTTTTTCAAGTTTTTAATAATTAAATAATTTTTTATAATTTAATCTATTAAATAATTATATTATGAAATACTATTTTGTAATAAATAAATGTTTTGATGTCATTATGGCAGTGATTTTCTTTTTATCTTTTTAATTTCTATTTTTAAATTAATTTTTAAGAACATTTTTACATGAGTAGAAGTCACATTAGTAACTTAATATCATATTAGTAATTGTACAATTTACAAAGTTTAATTTTATATGTATTTAAAACCTTCTTAAAAATCTATTGTTTTACTTAACAAAAATATTACAAACATTAATAAATTTAAATATAAATTTTTAATAGAATTATTGGTATTTATAAGTATACTAGCTGCAAGGACCCGCTTCGCTGGGTCTTTATTTGTATGTAATATAGTTTTTATATACAGTATATATAAAAGACTGTTTTTCTAAGTAATCTAGAATCTAGCTGCAAGGACCCGCTTCGCTGGGCAAAAAGTAACGATAGTGAAGATTAAGATAATTACATTATAGCTAA